TATAATCTTGGAAACCAGTTTTCAGATACCGAAAATTAACACGATGGCTGCGGGGATTTGGATTTGGAAACAAAAACTTGCATTCTTCGATTGGATGGAAAACGAAAACTGAAAACTAAATACTGAAAAGCCGATAGAGGGAGAGAGATGAGATGCATGTGTATAGGACTGGTTTTCCCCTGCGGTCGGTCTTTCGCACCTTTGATGTTGGTTTTTTAATGCCCTGGAAAAAAGGGGGTTGTCCATCCAATAAGGTCTATGAGAATTTGATTTCTTATAATCGAATTCATGGAATTTTTACCCCAACTTTGGGGCGCGGCCTGGCCCGGCGAATGATCAATCAAGTGCAGCATCAGTGGAGGCAGATGAATACCTAATGAGTGCGGGTATGACTGACAAACACACGCAGCCGTGAATACATATGTACATACATATGTACCTTTGTACATATGTATATAGTCCCACAGTCGTAGACCCAAACTGGTTTAATTGATTCAAATGAAGACGACGATGGAGATGGAGACGGTGACGGTGACGGCGACGGCGACTCTTGAATGACGTTTGTCCGGCTTTGGCTTTGCCCCATTCCCTTTGTTGGCTTTTATACCGATTTCAGTAATATGTAAATCGAACCCCCCACCGCCGGTAGCAGGCAGCCCCTTCCCCAATCTCCATCATCCACGGATCGGAAAACGTCAAAATAGAAAACTTGCAAATCACATGCAACAATTGATGTCGATTGTTGCCACAGCCGCTGGCGTGTCATGCAACGTTTTGTGCTCGCCCTTTTGTGGCTGCACTCGTGCTTTGTTTGTGTTTGTGTTTATAATTGTCTCAGGTGCAACAGCCCCCCACACCCCCATGTTTGCTGATCACTTGTCAGTCAGGGGCGTTCGGTGCCCCTTCACATTGAACCCAGCATTCACCTCTGGCTGCACTCACACAAAGTATTCAGGTATTCAGGTGATCGGCTTCCAAGCGCATGAATCTTGTGAACAGAATAATAGCTGTAACAATAGATCTCGAGGTATTTACAAATCCAATAAATATATATGAAACAATCCATTTTTGCTGGTCACTTTGTGACACTCTTGTTAAAGAAGCTGGCTTCTAAAGAGCATTGATATAGGTGCTTCCACAATTTTTAAAAATCTGTATACAACCGTTTGATCTATTACAGGGTTAATCAAACTGGTTCCCTTGTGGATAATTGCAATTAATTATGATGTTGGAATCGTTAGTTTAACTGATGCATTTACGTGCCCTGAAAACCTTTTGATTAGCTGCCTGTAAGTTGTGTTTTATCTAGGAAAAAAGCAATTACTGCCAATAAACACGAATTGTAGTTAGCCATTTCTTTAGAATAGGGTCACTTATTGTAACACTCTTTGCCAAAATATCAGTTTCAGTTTGTTTTGGGAACTGTATCGTCAGAAAAGTGACTACAGTGTATTGTGAGTACTAAAATCTGTAAAATGAGTAGGGCATTAAGAAATCAGCTTATTGTTCTCATTCTGCCGCTTAACTCTGTGGTCAAAGTGGACTGACAGTGCCCATGTGAATGTCAATTGTGTCCGAGCCCCGTCCGCCCTTTTGACTCTCCGTTGTTTTCCATTCAATTATTAAAATTAGCCCTGCTCTCGCTAATTGTCGAAAGATGCAATTAAAGCTGCTCAGACTAAGGCCGAGACAGATGTAGAGATACAAGTTGTGAGGAATCGATGTTCACACACCTAGAGGAAACTATCTTTTGTCTAGAAATCGGAGAGCAGGTAGCCAGATTCGTCTGGGGTTCGTATGCCATTAAGATATTACAGAACCACCCTCACAATTCGACGGACGGAAGTCGGTGCGGTCATAAATACCTAATCTTTATGGACAGTGGGAATCAAAGAGCTCTTGACTTGTTTATGCCTCCTGTCCAATCCCTGATCCGTGATCCCCGATCGCCTCGTCCGCCACTGCCACTAATTACTTGTCTCGGTCTGCTGGGGCACCACAAACCAAGCCAGACATTCCTTAGCCCAAGATCAGGATAAGATGTGACGGGAGTTGGGCGTGCAAGTGCCTCGAAGTCCTGTCCAATGGCATTCAAATGCAAAAGGTAGAGCAGCCAGGCAGCGGAGCCACTAAATAAAATCATTAAAAATAATGAACGCACTTCCGTTGCAATTGTCGGGGTCTTAGAACTTTACACAACATTAAAATCAAGCAGCCAAGGGGAGAAACCACAACATCGGCTTACAGAGAGAGAAAAATGGGTGGGGTTTTGGAAGGGCTGTTAAGATCCGGATTTTGAGTATGGCGATCACGCTACATAGCAACTCAATAGTGTTGTTCCTATATCATAATATTATGATGCCACACAATAATATTCATATTTTGCTGTGTGTAGGGAAATATTCTCGTTGCAAGCCGCACAAATTAAAAGGTAGAAATGTTCCCTCCCCGAAACGCAGAACTCAGCTTGTTGTCGAACTCGTTGTTGGTTGTTTGGTTGTTTGGTGGCTTGGTGGCTTGGTTGTTCGGTTGTTCGACTGTCGTGAGTGGCCCGGCAATTGCAATTACATATGTAAGATTGTTCTCAGATGCCGCCGCGGCCCAAGAGGAAAACGATGTGGGGGCATCGTGGTATGGATCGGAAATAAAACTCACTCCTCCCCGGCCGTAAAAACAAAGGCCATGCTGGTTACCACTTGATTGTGGGGGCTGGACGACACATATAAATTATCAACGACGCAGCCCCCGACCTAAACTCAAATCCCAACCCATTGGAGCCAGCTAAGCCAGGGGTTCTGGCTCTCTAGTTATGCATAGATACAGATACAGATACAAATACAGATACGGTTACAGATACAGAATCGGAATCATGAAGGTTGCTGCCTCAGAATGGGTACGAATACAGGTACAGCCTACGCCAAGTGGAGCTCATCGTTTATGCAATTGGTTTATGGGCCAGATATTTTATACTTTATACTTTATTGCAATCGATGGGGCCGAGTTGGGACTTGAGGTGCAAGGAAAGTGCGAAACTGGAACACCTACCTAGTGGAGCAGAAACTTTGAGCGTAAGCCCATTAACTTTTTAGCTAAAAGATTGCAGGGGAAAAGCAGTTAAGCCGAAAGTATCTAGTGCCATTAAAGTTGCAAGTACTCTTGATAAGCTCTAAATGGTAATGTCAAATACTTTTCGATACTAATTCCTAAAAGTGTACGTTCCTTTTAACTTTTCAAAGCTGTTTGTTGGGAAACAGAAGCCGTGTAAATAAATTAAATTAAATTATTTACTCCAGCTTCACGTAAAAGGAAAATCAGGTGTGACGATTTCCAAAGGTCAAGCCGCAATCATTACTCAAAAAGCATTATTACTTTTCGTCGGTAAAGTTATTTGTTTACAATAATAATAACTTGTAAATTTATGAATACTAAAGGTCAAAACTTAATCAATCTTTGCATAGCCTTTCAATGGTCATAAACGACTAGGTAAACACCATCAGTCACTCAATATTCTTGGCCATAAAATGATTGATGAAGGTATCGGCGAAATTCTAGGTGAACTATTATGATAATTGATTGTAAAATTTAAATTTAATGCCCGAATCAACTTTTAAAACCTGCTGAGTGGACGTAATGCCAGAGAGACACATCCATTTCCCAGCCTAACAGTCGAATCACCGCAGGGGGGAATGCCAAGTCAAGTGATACCAGCTCCAAATTGATTTACCATTCTGGGGTGCCATCATTATATCTGACCCAATTGCTTGCGGGGAAGTGTGACACATTTCTGGTGGCAAAGATCAATTTGGTTTGGCCACTGGAAATGGACCACAACGTCGCCGGTTCCGTCGCATTGGTTTCGCTGCTGAAAGTTAACTGGGAATCGGGGAACCGAGGAATTGGAATACCAATGGAAATGGAAATAGAAATAGAAATGGGTATGGGTTAGTTGTTCGCCTGTTTGTTTGCACAACTGTTGAAACAGTGGCAAAGTGCGGAATCATGTTGCCGCATTGTTTAGTCGGGCATTTCTAGTTTGTTTTCCTCTTTTTTTTGTAAGTGAATTTTTTGTGATCATTTTGCTTTATTAGCCGTACTCTCTTCTCGGCTATTTACCCAATGACAACAGTTTAGGATGGCGCTTGGCCAGAAGACAAAAACAAGGTCACAACCAGAACTTTCCAAAACAAAAAGCCCAAAAAAATAAAAAGCACAACTGGAAAAAGTACCAGCGGAGATACGCCGCCGAATCGGCTGGACAAGAAACAATTAGTCAGGGAGGGGCCCTCGCAATTTGTATCTGTAACCGGGAGATATTCGCGCCTTTTCACACTACTTCTTCTTCTGGGTTAACGTCAGCGTTAACCCGTTTGCCAGGCCAATTACCCCGCCCCATAACCCCAGCATGAATATCGCTTAAGACAGAATAAAAGTGCCTCGACAATTGCTTTATTCATGACTAAAGCGGCTGGGGAAGGAGGAAACACACGAAACACAACAGCAACCTACATAAAGTATCTCTCAGTATATTGTATCTTAGTATCGCAGTTTCTTAGTGCCGCAGTATCTTAGTATCGCAGTATCTCTGCATCTGGTATCTCGAACTGTGGCTATGTGACGCATCTGGTGGGATCCCAGTGGAGGAACTGCAGCTTGAAGTTGCCTCTTGATTGCTCTTGATTGGCCTTTGTTTCGCTTTGCTTTCCACTCGTTGTGCAAGTTTTGATTTTGATTTCAACTCAAATCGACTCGCCTCGCGTTTTGATTTGATTTCGATTTGTGTGTCTGGACGAGAGTGTTTATTTTCATTTTCAATAAATCGCTCTATAATTGCACTCCGCGGGGGGATTGCTAGGCCCCTCGATGTGAAAGCTGCCATCAAATTATCTCATTTCACGAGGCGTGTGAAAAACGCTTTTGATCTTTGCATTTCCAAATTGATATATCTTTTGTGTTTTCTTCAAACATTTTTTTTCATAATTTCTCTCGTTCATTTCTTGCAGGCCCCAGTCCGCGAAACACACCCTAAAAAAGCTCTTCAAGATTTGTGGATGTTTTCAGGTATGTGCCATAAACATAGGCCATAAACATATTTTCATATCAAATTCCAAATACTCAATGGGAATTGGGGAGAGGCTCCAACAGCAAGTGTGGATCACCCATGGCTTACATATGTTGCAGTTTAGTCCACGTCCCACTCGAGTGCAACTAAGTGGTTCGAACACACTATTCATAACTCGGGTGCCATTAAAGCTGGAGGCACGCAAACTTTCGCACGGCTCACTGCTCGCATTGAGAACCTTAAATATGGGTCAATTACTCATAAAGAGCCTTTCATAACTCTTGAAGTACTTCAATTTAGTGACCGTTAGGCATTGCAGACTGCGTTATAGGGTATGCACTGTGTTCGGATTTCAACAAATTTAACAAACTGCAGCTGCGCCACATAGTTTCAGGCTTATTTATTAGTTATTTTATGTGTCATAACACCTGCTATATCCATCAACCTAATTTTATCAAGAACTAACCACTACTAGGTAGCCAGTAGTCTGTTCGAAACAGCACCTGCTGACTAGAGCTAGCCTTAGTTCAGTTCAGTTCTAATTGCCGCTAGTCATACTCGCATTCGCATATGGAGCCGGCGGATTCGAGCCTAACTGTTGAGTGGCAGTTAAATGCTAATTTGCCGGGCTGACTGACCGTTGCTGACTGCCGGTTTTTGGTTTACTGGTCTTGAATCTTGTATCTTTACTGTCTTTTAGCGCAGAATCGTTGGTGCTTGTGTGCGTCTTAATTGCACCGGGAAACCCATTTCAAGAAGTTGGCCCTTTTAGCCGCTTACCTTTTTTTTGCTCCATCTCAACGTCTTTCTGCCGTATCGATTGCAAATCCACGCACATGAATCGAGGTCGCTGGAGATCAACGATCTGTATCTGTATCTGCATCTCTCTACCTGCTCGACTTAGTTTTTGTTTTTGCTCAACTCTAACTGATCAACTGCGGTGGAAGAGTAACTGACGTAGTGCAGATACGAATGCAAATTTGTATCTTTATTAAATCAAATAAATTTGTGCCTTTTGGACTTCATGCGCGGCTGCCTCCAGTCGATAAGTCAGCGGATTTCATTGTTTGGTGATTGGGCTATAACAATGTGAATTCGTCAACGGAAACGATCTGCGACTAACAATTGCTCACATGCAATGAGTATAATTTGTTTAGATCATAAATTTGCGTCATTTTCGGCGTGGCAGTGTACGAGTATCTGATAAATCCTAACCGCTAGAATTAAGCAACTTATTTGCGATAGCCTTTAATTGCAACATTTCCCTGTTTGATCTATCTAATTGAAGATTTCCTATTTTACCACATCTAATCGTCTTATTTTGAAAAATCGGATTAATAGATCACTTGATCACCTGAAATGAATTCCAGTTTAAATGAAATCCAATTTACATCACATTAGAAGAGAAATATGAACTCTGAACTTGAGCTAACAAAATAAACAATTCGGTTTGCCAAGCCCACCAATTTATTGACAATTTCGAATGCCTTTCCACTCATATGCAAATGCGAATTGGTAAACAACCTTAGCAATGAAATGAATGAACATCGAATGACAAAATATGGTGTAATAAATCAATAAAACTCGTTGCTATTGTGATTCCCGGAATTATACTGATTTATATATAAATATGATCAAATTCTTTGTTTTAAATGGTTTTAAAGGTTTTAAGAACTTTAGAAGCATAAACCTCATAGCTGCGAAATCGTAAATACTTTCCACTTTCCCTGAGCATCAGCTGCGTTTAATTAGCTTCACTTTTACTCATCTCGCAAAGAATCTGAAGCTGGAGTAAAAGTTTGCCGACTTATCTTGTTCTCCGTCTAATTTCCACTTGCGTTTTTTGCATTCAATTTGATGTCGCCGCACATGGACATGGAAATGGCTGTCCAGATATTTTGGACTTGGTTTTCACCTGGTCGCGGCACGTAGTCATTTCGATGGACATTTGACATCACATCACCTGACATGTCAGGCGGTCGTTTTGGGCACAGTGAGAGTTTCGGTAGCAAATTCTTGCAGTAAAAGTAAATGCGATTTGGGATGAAAACGAGCTCAAGTTCGGACAGCAGGTGGCAAATTGTTTTGGCACATGCCCAGAGCCAAACAAAAAAAGAAGAAAAATAAACAGCTTCTGCTTAGAGCCAGACCTGTCTGGATCGGATTCGCCAAACGAGATAAAAATAAAACCATTATAAATTCATTAACCAAGCGAATCTTTGATAATTATAGTATGCTTAGAAGGGGGACGAAGAGCTTCTATAATTTTTCGTGAAATGTGCGTCAGCAACAAAAAAGAAAAAACACTTTTTTATCCCCCAATCTGCGCGATTCGTTTGATCTGGACAACAAACTAGCCAAACCACAAAAAATGGCAAACGGAAAAAAGTGGCAAATGTGCCTCAGGTGATAAGTTCATTTATTTATCTGTTATTCCTGTGCTGCTTATTTTCTTTTTATCTTTTAATTTTATCCGACGCGTGCTCCATGAGTTTTGTGTTAATTCGTAATAATTAATTTGAGAGTTTGCAGAAGCCGCAAATGAAGCGAGGCTAATAAATTATTTATAATTCGCGAACACGACAAGGGAATATGGGAATTTCCAAAATGCAAAGATTACTTCTAGGAATTAAAGGTGCCATTTAAATTAAATTTAGAACTAAAAACCCCGCTAATAAAATCCCATTAGGGTTTTTTATATTTCTATATATATTTGGACATAACATTACATTTATAAGCACGATATCTTAATGTTCTCTAATAGATAACTTACCAAGTAAGTATTCAAACTTAAAGTTTGATCGATAAGGCATTAGTTAATACCCATTGATTTTTGGAGTACCTTTTAATAACCAATTTTCTTTTTATAACTCAAGTAGCGAATGTTCCTTTAAATTGCTTTGCGGACTGTTGATTATTTTATGGGCCCTGTAAACTTGTTTTTATGCATTTCAATACTCCTAGCTGTTATTCTTCAATATTTATTATTGCCATTTTATTTCGAGCTATGATCGTTGCGCTGGCTGCACAATTACTCAGCCAAATGAGTGTGGAAACTTCGGAATGCCTCAAATTGCATTTGGCCAAACACGGAAGATGGTCCACCCCAATCCGACTCACATATTTCTATTCAACAGTTGCGTGTGCATTGCACAGTGGGTTTGTGTGCCTCGAAATCGCATTTCATGCAATTACAACTACTGCAAATCGGTTGTCACGGAGCTCCATTTAGGCGGCTTAATAACCGGAACGAGGTCTATAAATATAAAATCTTTAATTGAAATGGCCAAAACAACTTTACAATTTGCTATTATCGGTAACCTTTGTCATGTTATTCATTTTTATCCCATTGCTTAATTCTTATCTTGCTTAAAATTTACTTTTTCTACAAATTTTTGTTATACCCGTTACTAGTCGGTAGTGTTACTAGTGGGTAGTTACTCCTAGTCGGGGAGTATTCTATCTTTTTTTTTTTACGATAAAGCGTGAGTTTAATTTGCCTTTGCACGGTGTTTTCTCATTTCTAGGAGATATTGCGCATTTGTGAAAAGCAAAGGGTTCTAAAATAACGAATTTATTACACTCGCGACTTGCTTCATACTCGTTTTCTAATTGGATAATCGTGTAATGGGGGCTCTAAAACTCGTATTACCTAAGTACCACAGCCCATAGGGCATACAGGGAATAAAAAGTCATATAATTTAGGTTCGAGATCAGTTGTTACATGTTCCCAATCTCCTCGATTAAAAAACCCAAGATGCTTACCAAAATCATTCGAATTTAATCAGATCATGCGTTTAATTCTTTTAAATTGTATGAAGTACATTGGAAATACTTGAACAAAGGGTGTTGATAAATAGAAAACATATTGCACTGTTGGTTTAATTGGTTAGAATATCTTTCTCCCTTGCGAGTAAATACTAAACTCTCAATTACTAATTAATTAATTTGCATAAAGCCTCATACAAAAACTAACTAATGACTGCACGTTTCAAATTTGCGAAAAAATTTGCATATAGTTCAATGGATTGTATTTACTTCATTCGTTAGCTTTATAAAATGGACTCATTTGTGATTTAGAGTAGTGCCAAAAGTCACTTATCAACGCATAATTCAAAAGCCCGTCACTTGACTTAAAATAATTCCTTTTTTTGTGCCATCCATTTTAATAAACTTTTTAATTTGTTGTTGGTATTTGGCAATCTTTCCTTCGAAATAATTTCATGCGCATTTGTTTGCATTGAGTTCGAATTATTTTTTGTTCACTTTTATTTATTATTTTTCGTTATTGAAATTGGAATGGCAAGTGGAATTTGTAAGCAATTTGAACGGTAATTGAAATTCAATTCAGGTCCAAGCGGAGCAGACGAGGTAAAATAAAGAGTATCATACAATTTTGATCCAAATACGATGCAAGCAAGAGAAAACGCTATAGTCCGCTATCAGATACCTATTACCTATTTAGTAGGAGAGGGCCTTAAGATGGTTGTCCGTCCGTATGTCCGTATGCACGGACATAGATCAGTTCGAGTAGTGATTCTGATTCCCATAACTGCTATAAACTTTTCAACGAATCGAGTATACCCTTTTATTCTACTTTTATTGGGTATAAATCTACATTTGTTTTTGTGCGACACAGGCTGAAATAAAATGATGAAAAAATTATTTATTTATTCAGAATAAATGTAATTTTGACAACGAAAACCGATTAACATTTCTGTATAAATAATGCAAATATTCAACAGAAATATGTCCTAAAATGCCATTTACTTAAAAAGTAAACACATAAATCGCTCCAAATCGTTGTATAATGTGTATTTGTAAGTTTTGGCTATGGAGCTGCTGTCATATTCTGTAAAAACGGATCATTTTGTATTCAAGTGAACCGTTTTTTTTGAGCCAAGGTTTCTTCTTAGCCCGGTCACATGGTCACCATGCGGTTTTTGCCGGAGGAATGCATTTATTAGCCCGACCCAACAAACAAAAAAGACTCAAATGC